TTAAAGTCTCCCAGGTGGCTCTTGAGCCTAAGGTGGGACTAGAACTCCCAGTCTCCTGGTGATTGGCTCAAAGTCACCCAGCCGGCTTTTGTGCCTAATGCGGGTTTAGAACTCACCATCTCTTGTTGATTGGCTCAAAGTCGCCCAGTCACTTTCATACTTAACGCAAGACTAGAACTCACCATCTCCTGGTGTTTTTTTTTTCTTCCATAGTCACCCAGCTGACTTTCGTGCCTAAGGCAGGACTAGAACTCCCAAGGGCAGCAAAAGACCTGGCCAGCTTAATTCTCTGGGTTTCTTTGTTCTCAGCAGAGATCAGCCGGTCCGAGCAACGTTCTCCGCGATGCCTGTTTGGTCGCCAACGTCTTAGATCCCCGGATCAAGCAGGAAATCATCAAGAAGTTTATAAAGCAGCACCTCTCGGAATATCTGGTGCTTTTCCAGGAAAACCAAGACGTGAGTTGGACTCTGCGATTCCTTTTGGCCGGACACGCACTTCGAAAAAGATTCACTCAGAAATCCTTTCGGTCTTGGCAGAGGCCCTGTGTTTTCCTGCTGTACACAAAAGCTCTTCTTTCTCATTTTGATGGATGCCGAAAAGAAAATTACGCCTGCCCTTAATTGGAGCTGAAACTACTTAATTGGAGTTAAGAGACAGAACTGAAGAATCTTCTAGGAATGAGAAGCAAAATGTCTTCACGGGAAAAAGAAAAACCAATAAAGTCCAGCTGCCTTTTGAAAAAAAGCACTTTTGTGGGGTTCCTTCAGGGATTGAGTGATTCGCATCCTTTAGCCCCCACCCACCCACCCTCTTAAAGGACGCTTCACGACGTGCGTTGTACATCTTGAGGAGAAAGATGGCTGAACTCTCTTGTGTTCTCCCTCAGGTGGCTTGGCTAGACAAGATCGACCGGCGTTACGCCTGGATCAAACGTCAGCTGGTAGACTACGAGGAGAAATACGGCCGGATGTTCCCAGGAGAGTGGTGCATGACAGAACGGATCGCGGTGGATTTCTGTCACATTACAAGGTGGGATTCTAAAATACTATCACCCTCCTCCCGTTTTTAGGAATGTTTTTTTTGTCCTGGGTCCTTTTCACCCACATCATTAAAAAGTGCAAACGGCACTTAATTTTTAAACTTTCATTTTAAAAGCTTAAATGTCAACTCAATAAAATATTTCTATGGTCTTTTTAGAGTTGCCAACAGAAAGGGAGGGGGGAGCAGTGTGGCAGCTTGGAAATCGAAAGTGCATTCCATAAATGTTTTCAAAGATAGTAACTAGGTGACTGAAGTTTCTGCCACACAAAATTCTAACTGGAGAGCATGATTGATTATTCTGGGCTATGGATGCGTCCCATTGGAGAATATGGATTATGATACACCCAGAGGGATGGGGGAAAACTGGGGTCAAAGGTGACAATGAACGATGTGTCTCAGAGTCGGCTACACCCAGACAGTGCCGACATGTTAATTCCCAATAAATCCTTCTGAAATTTTGGAAGTTTGGCTTGAGACTCATGATTTAATTGTGGGTAACTGCCGGAATCCTGACAGCTAGCCAACTCTGAGACACATAATTCATTGTCACCCTTGACCCTGTCATGCTTCCAAATCCCATTTGAAAGGCTGAATTGCACAAGCTGAGCCCAAAAGGTTCTTCTTTCTGTGTTATTGCAAAAAATAATAATTCTCTTTTTGTAGGGCGCCAACGATCAGAGTCGCACACAAGTTCCAATTCAAGTGACTTACCGCTCAAACCTACGCAGGTAGTTCTCGACTTCTGACCACAATGGAGTCACAAATTTAGGTCGCAAAATAAGACAGTTGTTAAGTGAGCTTTGCCCCTATTATTATGATCTTCCTTGCCATGGTCGTTAAGTGGATCATTGCAGTTAAGTCAATGGACCTACCAAGGGGCATTGCGTATTTGCAATCGGGTCCTGAAGTTCTCACACATGCGTCACAATCACGACTGCACATCAGCTGCTTAGTAACTACACTGCATACATGGCTGCTGGCAGCATCCCATAATCCCATGACCGTATTTTAGGACAGTTTCACTGAAAATCAGCATTTTGTTCAGGTTTTAGGCAAAACTGGCCCGTAGCAAACTATTGATTTGCTTAACCATGACCTTTGATTAAAATCACACGAGTGACCGGTTTTACAACTGTCACAATTTGCATCCATGATGGGCAGGCTCTGTTACGTTGTAAATGTGGATTACCTGTGTGATAACCCAGAGTGTAACACAAACGTAACAAAATCCAAAAGGTAAATAAATGTCCTTTAATACCTCCAACCTGGCCGCACTGTTCAATAATTCTCAGTTGGAGATAAAACATACTCAAAAATAGTCTTCAAAAGGAAGCAATACAGTCCGAACTTAATGAGCAGATAGAGGTGAAATAAAAAACTAAAACAAACTACAATGAAGGAATTTCCACAACAGACCAGGATAAGTAATTACCAATTTCAAGGAGATAACAAGGCACAGTCTGTTGGAAGGATGCCAACCAAGATAACTTCAGCCTAAAATAAAACACACTTTGCTTCTAGCAATGCTGTGTTTTAACCGTCTCGATTATGTACTATTCTCCCCAGCTGCAACCGGGGATCATGGCCACTTCCTCTCTCATAAGCCAAGTTGTTTCCTTCTCCATTCCTCCCTGCGTGTTCTAGGATGCAGAGGGGATGGGTCTGGTTCTTCCTCTGACTGCTCAGCTGGCCTCAGCCCTTCCCCAGCCTCCTCCACAACCTCCGGAGCCACACCTCCACTTCCTGTTGGCTGTTCCTCCTCTCCCTCGGAGTCCGACTCTAACAAGGGCATGACAACCTGTCAGTAAATGAACTGTTGTAAGTCAAGGACTACCTGTAAAATCCAAGCAATGTGATGATTTATAAAAAGGCTGTGTGGTTTTCCAGCATTTCCGTTGTGAATGCCAGATGTTGGAACGAGTACAGGTAGTCCTCGACTTACAACAGTTCATTTAGTGACCGTTTGAATTTACAATGGCACTAAAACAAGTAACTTACAACCATTTTTCACACTTATGACCATTGCAGTAGCAGCCCCAACGTCACATGATTTATATTCAGGTGCTTGACAATTGACTCCCATTTATGATGGTTGCCATGTCCTGGCATCACACGATCCCCTTTTGTGACCTCAGTGAGGAAGCTGGATTCCCTTAACAACCGTGTGACTCACTTAACAACTGCAATGAACAAAGGTGGCAAGAAAGGTCGTAAAATGCGGCACAACTCACTTAACAAATCTCTCACTTTCAGCGACATCAATTCCAGGCTGAATTGTGGTCGTAAGTCGAGGACTACCTGTACCAGCGTGACAGATTTTGCCTCCTTCTCCTTGCAGGATGGAACTGGGGAAAATCATGCGCACCCGGGCAAGAGAGATCGAAGTCAAGCTGCTACTTTTCTCAATCCAGAGGACGACCAACTTCGAAGGGCTGTTGGCCAAACGCTTCTCCGGCTCCACGCTAACAGAGACGGTGACGGTAAAAAAAGGAGCCCGTGTTTTTGTAGGTTCCCCCTCCCTCCTGTGGTTGGAGAGGGAGGGGGATCCCTGTGTATCATCCTTCCCCCCATTTGCACGTTCGCGCCTTCTGGTCCCAGAGCCAAGTGACCCTGTGGGAAAAAAAAGGGATTTTCTTCTCACATAACATCGCTCTGTTTGACGTTACGATGGAGCCCCCCAAAAGCTCAGAGTGCGACAACTCACCACAACCAATTCACCACGGCCAACTCACCGCGAGACAATTCAACAGTTCAGTTTCAATATTTAAAATAATTTTTAAAAAAATTGTTTTAATTTTTTGCCATTCACATTTCATTTTGGTCTCCTTTAATTATTCTATTCCACTACTAGCTGGATACCCGTCCTTCGCTATGAAACTATGTGGTCGGGTTTAGTTTTTGAGGAGGAAAATAAATTAATACCTGCACTGCGCCTCATAGCTGATTTTCAGCCGGTTTGAGGCCTTTTTCGGCCTCCCAGAGGCTTGAGGAAGGCTTCTGCGGGCTTTGCAGGCTGAAAACCAGCCCCGTTTTGTCACTTCCAGTATTTTCGGAAAAACAGGAAGTGACGAAACAAAGCTAGTTTTCGGCCTGCAGAAGCCTTCCTCAAGCCTTTGGGAGGCCGAAAAAGGCCTCAGACCAGCCAAAAAATCAGCTGTGAGGTGCATGCTTGTGCAGTGAGGTAAGTTTGCCTGCAGCTCGCGTGCCGGCACAAATGGCTCTGCGTGCCACCTGTGACATGCGTGTCATAGGTTCACCATCACGGACCTATACTATTTCAGACAGGTGTCTGTCCAGTGGCTTCTTAAAAACTTCCAGTGATGAATCTCCCACAACTTCTGGTGTCAAGCTGTTCCACCGGTTAATTGTCCTCACTGCTTGGAAGCTTCTCCTAAATTCCAGGTTGCTTCTCTCCTTGATGAGTTTCCACCTGTTGTTTCTTCTTCTGCCTTCAGCTGCTTTGGAAAATAAATTGACCCCCCTCTCTGCTTTATGGCAGCCCCTCCAATATTGGAAAACTGCTATCATATTCCTTCTTTTCCCTAGACTGGCCAAACCCAGTTCCTGCAGCTGTTCTTCATATGTTTTAGTCTCCAGGCCTATAATAATCTTATAGTTGCTCTTCTTTGCACTTGTCTCGACATCCTTTTTGTAATGTGGAGACCAAAACTGGACCCTGTATTCCTTTACTAAGGCTTTATAAAGCCTGGCTTTCATTCTGTGCCTCTGTTTATACAACCAAGGATCGTATTTGCTTTTTTGGCGGCGGCTGCACATGGCTAGCTCATACACACTGGGTGAAACCAAGGCTCAATAGCAGTAACTGTGAGAGGGATCTTGGAGTCTTAGTCTTAGCAAAATAGGAGCCAGCAGGGTGCAGCAGCAGCCCAAAAAGCTAATGGAATCCTAAATTGTATTTTCAGAGGGATACAATCAAGATCAAGGGAAGTACTAAAACCACTCTATAAAGCCTTAGTAAGACCACACCTAGAGTACTGCATCCAGTTTTGGTCACCATACTATAAAAAAGATGTTGAGACTCTGGAAAAAGTACAGAGAAGAGCAACCAGGATGATGAGGGGACTGGAGGCTAAAACATACGAAGAACGGTTGCAGGAACTGGGCCTGGCTAGTCTAGGGAAGAGAAGGACCAGGGGAGACAGGAGAGCAGCCTTCCAATATTTGAGGGGCTGCCCCAGAGAGGAGGAGGAAGGGGGTCAAGCTATTTTCCAAAGCACCCGAAGGCCAGAGAAGGAATCATGGATGGAAACTGAACAAGGAGAGATTCAACCTAGAAATATGGAGAAACTTTCTGACAGGGAGAACAATCAACCCATGGAACAGAAGTTGCCTTCAGAAGTTGTGGGAGCTTCATCCCTGGAGGCTTTCAAGAAGAGATCTGTCAGAAGTGGTGTAGGGTCTCCTGCTTGGGCAGGGGGTTGGACTAGATGACCTACAGGGTCCCTTCCCACTCTGTTATCTGTTAAGTGATCGCCTTTTCCCTCAAACTTCCCATTTTTTTTTTCTCCCACTAGAAAAAGCCGGATCCTCCACCGGTTTCCACCAACCCTTTTCTCGAGGAAGAATCCACGACGGATGAGGAGGAAACCCCATCAGAAAGGCTTGATCTTGACAAGGTAAATGTCTTTGTTTCTGAGATTCCACGTTCTCCCCCCCGGCCCGCCCCCCCATAAACCGATGGGCCTTTTCTTTCTCTCTCTTCCCTACATTGATATCCACTTGGACTACAATCTCCATCATTCCCTGCTGGGCTGGAGACCCTCCGGGTGGAGGATGCTAGAGGGTTTCTTCTTCTCCTTTCTGGCTGCAGTCTTTCTTCTTGCAATTTTCTTAGCTAGTGCCAGGGGTGGGATGCAAATATTTTTTACTACCAGTTCTGTAGGTTGGGCTAGGTGGGAGTGGCCATGTGACTGGGTGGGCGTGGCTTCTTTTTTGTGCAGCACCTCCCCCCTGCTCTGTTTTTTTGGGGGGAGGGGGGTCCTCCTGTTGCCAAGCATCCGAATTTTGATCAGGTGGCCCCGGGGATGCTGCAGCGGTCGTAGGTGTGAAAAATAGCCGTAAGTCACTTTTTAGTAACTTCGAATGGGTCACTAAATGAGCTGTTGTAAGTCGAGGGCTACCTGTAAGTGGCATTCTTTTCCTGTGAATCTTTACTGGGTTTTATAACCTCTCTTTATCTTTTTTTGTTTTTTTTTGTATCTTAGCCACAAAAGCCAAAAATTCCAAATAATCCGTTCCATGGGATTATTTCCAAGTGCTTTGAGCCCCACCTGTATGTCTACATTGAATCTCAGGACAGGTGAGTGACAATTATTTCCATGGTGGGGGGGGGGGAAATGTGGGCGGACACAGCCGGATAAGAAAGCATGGCTCACTTACAAAAGAAAAAAAATAAAGCTAGACATAAGAGTTTGAGAAGAATTGACAAAATGCTTCAAGTAGTCCTCTACCTACAACAGTTCATTTAGAGTTAGAATTCTTTTACTGGCCAAGCGTGATTGGACACACAAGGAGTTTGTCTTGGTGCAAATGCTCTCAGTGTACATAAAAGAAAAGACACATCCATCAAGCGTCAAGAATCATAAGGCACAACACTTAATAATAGTCATAAGGTACAATAGAATAGAGCAGAAGGATATAGGAATAGAATTTAAATAGAATGGGATGGAACAGGATATAGAAGAGAAGAGAAGAGAAGAGAAGAGAAAATAGAAGAGAAAATAGAAGAGAAGAGAAAAAAGAAGAGGAGAGAAGAGAAAATAGAAGAGGAGAAGAGAAGAGAAAATAGAAGAGAAGAGAAAATAGAAGAGAAGAGAATAGAAAATAGAAGAGGACAATAGAAGAGAAGAGAAGAGAAGAGAAGAGAGAAGAGAAAAGAGAAGAGAAGAGGAAGAGAATAGGAAATAGAAGAGAAGAGAAGAGAAAAGAGAAGAGAAAAGAGAAGAGAAGAGAAGAGAAAATAGAATAGAATAGAATAGAATAGAATAGAATAGAAAATAGAACGGAATGGAATGGAATGGAATAGAATAGAATAGAATATGAACAGCCTCCAGGTCTGGAGGTGGCTGATGAGGAAGAGGAGGAACAGCCAGGCCCAGTGCCTGACATGCAGATGTATGGAAGGCAGAAGAGAGGAGAGCAGTAGAAATCCATGGGCCGGTCCTCGGGACGGAAGAGCCACCGCTGCTAGCGAAGCCCCCACCCTAGTTCTGGGGATAAAAGGCAGGGGGCGGAGATGAATAGGTGTGGCAGACCACCTCCCTGCCGGACGGACCTGTTAGCCTGCGGCGAGAGAGAAACCTTTTGCCGGGGCTGCCGGCGCTCCTAATAAAGGAATCTTTTGAATTAACTTCAGAGAGTTTGTTGTGTTTGGGGACCTGGGTCAGAACATGTATGACTTCATAGAAGTACAGAATAAAACAATCAGAACATTAAAAACACTGGGCAGCGAAACGCTAAAAGTTAGCAAATATAAAAAGGATAAAAAGGAACAAATACATCAACAGGATAGGCGTGGGATTTTCTCCTAAGTCCTAACCATATACTGTAGTAGCTCGATACCCGTGCTTTGCTACAAAACTATGTGGTCGGGCTTAGTTTTGGGGGAGGAAAATAAGGAAAAATAAATCCTGCCTGCGTCTACCAACATCCATTGGTATTCATCTGGCTAGCACTTTGTTAGTGTGTGAGAGAGTTGAGGGCTGTTTGGAAACTGAAACAGTATTTGCTGTGTGAGCAAGGAGGAGACAGCAAGGAGCCTGGGTGTGGCTTAGCTCAACTGTTCTGTCCTAAAGCTGGTTGCTGCTGTGAAAGTGAAAGTGAAACTGAAACTCCTCTGCTTGTGCTTTGCATTTGGAACAGATTTCTTTCCAGGTGGGGAGGGGGAGTAGAACTCCTTAGCATCAGAGCGTGTTAATAATAACAATATAGGAAATACTAATGCTCTGATGGTCATTTCGAACAATCCTTTCTTAGGGAGCCCCTAGAAGCCAAGAGGAACCTACCAAATTTCAAGTTTGTAGGCTTTACGGTTCTGGAGATTTTGTGATGATGCGTCCGTGGCATTTCGCTTTTATATATGCAGAGATGTTTCCTAAACACATTTGTTTTTTTGCTTTCGTGGGTCATCAGAAACCTCGGAGAGCTGATTGACCGCTTTGTGGGGGACTTCAAAGCCCAGGGACCTCCCAAGCCGAACGTGGATGAGGGCGGGGCCGTTCTGCCCAGCTGCGCCGACCTCTTTGTGTATTACAAGAAATGCATGGTCCAGTGCTCGCAGCTAAGCACCGGGGAGCCCATGATCGCCCTGACCACCATATTCCAGAAATACCTGCGGGAATACGCCTGGAAGATCCTCTCCGGAAATTTACCCAAGTGAGTTTTGGTGTCAGGGTTCCGGCGATTGCCCTAATTAAATCACGAGCTTCGAGCCAAGCTTCAAAAGAATTCAAAAGATTTATTAGGAGCAACATGTCAGCATTAGGTAACTTATTTCTAGGTAACTTCATCTGTTATTCTTGGCAGCCTTGCACAGTTTTGGTGAGGCTCGTGCTTATCTAAGTTAATTAGTGATAAGCAGCCTTTTAACTGGGGATTCGTAAGAATCATTAAAAGGTTTCTGTTCCCTTTTGGTTCATGTTTGTTTTATTGGACAAGGGTTTAGGTCAGAACAGTTATTCACTTCCTAAATGTGGCAACAAAGGTGGCCAAATGGAGTGAAATTCACTTCACAAATTTCTCACCTAGCAGCAGAAATGTTGGGCTCAGTTGGGGTGTTAAGCCAAGGACTACTTGTACTTTATTTGGCCAAGTGTAATTAGACGCACAAGAAATTTGTGCCCGGTGTAGAAGCTCACAGTGTACACAAAAAGCAACAGAATAAAATAATAATACCAATAAAAAGGGTAATAAAGAAGATAAGAAGGATAAATAATATTACTACAGTCTCACTACCTGGGTAACTACACATAGCCATTAGTCAGCACTGTGAGAATTAGGTATTCAACAGAGCGTTAAGCTAATATGACTGTCGTAAGATCATAATTCGAGGATGACCGGCCCGCAGTGTTTTTGACGTTGGATACTGGAGCTGAGAGATAGAGAGGGGGGAATAGAAATAGCTGGGGTTTTGTAGCCAAAACAAAATACTTACTCCTGGGAAGCAAGGGCATTCCCACAGGTGACTGGAGAGAGCAGCCGGATGGCACTTTGATTGGACCATGTGACTGATGGTTTGGGAAAGGGGGAAAACTTTTAATTAAGTGAAAACCGTGGGAACTTTCAAGAGTCGGTTTTTACCAGTCTGTGTCAATATGATACGTCCAATAAAACTGTTCTTTGAGGAGTCGGTCTGCCTCGGAGTTCTCTTTGCTATGGGTGTATTACTTGGAACCCTGACATCTAGAGCAGGGGTGTCAAATTCAAGGCCTGGGGGCCAGATCCGGCCCATGGAGTACTTAGATCTGACCGTGGGGCTACCCTGGAAACAGCAGAAGACTGGCCCACGATGCCTCTGCCAGCATGTTGTCTGGCAGAGGGTTGCAGGAGGCCATCCTAGCTGAAAATGGAGCTTGCTCAGGCCACGTGTGGACCTCCCCGAGCTCTGTTCTCATTGACCGAGGGTTGCAGGAGGCTGTCGCAGCCGAAAAAGAAGCTCGGGAGCCTTTTTCACTGGCAGAGATCTCAGACCACCATAGGCACCCCATGAGTGACATGCTGGCCACACCCACCCTGGCCATGCCCACCCTGGCCCCCTGAGGTCAAACATAACCCTGATGTGACCCTCAATGAAATCGAGTTTGACACCCCTGATGCAGAGCGATCGGGAGTTGTGCGGCATGCAGGTTGGATAAATTATTGTTTTTGTTTGCGACCACAACAGGACGACAAACACCAGCAGCAGCGGCCTGACCATCACCAGCTTACTAAAAGAGAAGGACGGTTCGGAGGTGGCCAAATTCACCTTAGAGGAGCTTTGCCTGATCTGCAGCATTCTGAGCACGGCCGAATATTGTTTGGCGACCACCCAACAGGTAAGGACACTTCAGCCATCCTCCGAGACAGATCCCTGGCGCTTTGCAACATGCCAGTTCTGACTTCTGGTGGAAAAGGGGGGGATACCATACCACCTTTGATGGTGGTATCGCAGCTTTTTATAAGAGGCACGGTGGCGCAGTGGTTAGAATGCGGTATTGCAGGCTAATTCTGCCGACTGTCAGAGGTTTGATCCTCACCGGCTCATGGTTGATTCAGCCTTCCGTCCTTCCGAGGTCGGTAAAGTGAGGACCCAGATTGTTGGGGACAAGAGGCTGACTCTGTGAACAGTTTAGAGAAGGCTGCAAAGCTCTGAGAAGCAGGATATAAGTGCGATTGTTGTTGCTATCTAGTCTTGTTCCGCGGCCTCATTTCCTTAGGTCAAAAAGAGTGCTGAAATATCATTTCATCTGCAAAAGGAAACCATCACGTTCCAAGCACTCTTTTTTTTTTTAAATGCTTTTAGATAATAATAGAAAAAGGAAAAAAAACGCAGGAGGAAAAAAATAATTGGGGTGGAAATACATTCTGAAAAATGCGTAACGTGCTTGAAAAGTGGAAAAAATGCAAGAAAAATAATAATCTACCATTATGAGAGTTAATAGTGAAAATTCTATATACAACGTAGCATAAATAATATCAATATCCAAGTAAGTATATGTAAATTAGACAAGGAGGCATTGTTGGGGATATTAACAAGGCTGCTCCTAAACAGAATATTTTATCAATGATTCCAAACGTTTTATAGCTTTTCCAACACTGTTTCAAAGTTTTTACTCGTTTTTGTACATTTCAACATATATTATCAACATTTTGCAGGTTTTTATCTTGTTACGTCTTGTGGTCAAAACAATCAATAAATCGATGGATTGATACATACTAATGCATGTATATCAGGTTATTTTTGTAATTTATATAAGTTTCTAACCCTCATAGCTCTTGGGTAAGGAAATGAAAGAACCCTGACTTACAAGTCACTATGCTTAAAAGGCAAAGAAGGGCAGTTGTAAATTTGCGGGAGATTATTTTAATATAGACTAGCTGATACCCATGCTTTGCTACGGAAACTATGTGGTCGGGCTTAGTTTTTGGGGAGGAAAATAAGGAAAAATAAATTCTGCCTCGGCCTACCAGCATCCGTCGGTATTCATCTGCTAGCGTCCTGTCAGTGTATGGGAGAGTTGAGGGCTGTTTGGAAACTGAAACAGTATTTGCTGTGTGAGCAAGGAGACAGCAAGGAGCCTGGGCGTGGCTTAGCTCAACTGTTCTGTACTAAAGCTGCTTGGTGCTGTGAAACTGAAACTCCTCTGCTTGTGTTTTTCATTTGGAAGTGATTTCTTTTCAGGTGGGGACGGGGAGTAGAACTCCTTAGCATCAGAGCGTGTTAATAATAATAATATACAAAACATTAGTGCTCTGATGGTCTTTTCAAAAAATCTTTTCTTAGTGAGCACCTAGAAGCCAAGAAGGAACTTACATTCCTAAATCGGTATTAAAAATCATCTCTCTTTCCATGTCCGCCTAACCTGATTCTTTCATTTTCCAACTTCTACCTCGTGTTTCTAAACCACTGATAAAACCTATTCCATGTTAAAAAGTATTTTGCATCTCCTTTATTTTTTAATTTTAGCGTTAGTCCGTCCATTTCCGCACAGGGCTATTTTCTTGTATAGATGTTTAATAACCCAACTAGGTGACGTCATCGGTGTTTAGGGACTGGCATTGCAAAATAATTTCTCCCCTGGTCTTCCAGCTCGAAGAAAAACTCAAGGAGAAAGTGGATGACAGCTTGGTTGAAAGAATCACCCTGATGGGAGAGATGGATACCTTCAGCACGTAAGTCCCCAGGGGCAGGATAAGTAATTTAATTTTATGCGTTTGATTCCTATTCCTTATGGTTTTTATAAAAACATCAGGGTGCCGAACAAACTTAATGTTCCTTCCTCTGTCTGTTTTCCCCACAACGATCTTGTGAGGTGGGTTGAGCTGAGAGAAAGTGACTCGCCCAAAGTCTCCCAGCCGGCTTTCATGCCTGAGGTGGTACTAGAACTCACCGTCTCCTGGTGATTGGCCCAAAGTCTCCCAATTGACTTTCATGCCTGAGGTGGTACTAGAATTCACCGTCTCCTGGTGATTGGCTCAAAGTCTCCCAATTGACTTCCATGCCTGAGGTGGTCCTAGAACTCACCGTCTCCTGGTGATTGGCCCAAAGTTTCCCAATTGACTTTCATGCCTGAGGTGGTACTAGAACTCACCGTCTCCTGGTGATTAGCCCAAAGTCTCCCAATTGACTTCCATGCCTGAGGTGGTACTAGAACTCACC